GCTTAGTTCATCCATATTTATATTTATGACCTGCTCTCGATACAAAGATATTGGCTAAGTGTTACTTTCCAATAGAAGAATCTACCTTGCAACCTTTAAAAAAGATAATAGTTTTGACTCTTCTCAGAATAACACTGTTAAATTATTCTGACATTTTTGCAGGCCATTAAGGCAAGCAAGGAGGGGAAATCAGTTGATGAATATGACTACCTACCATACTTCTATTCTCGTTCCTTTGATCTAGCATGGCAGTTCTATGGTGACAATGTTGGGGATACAGTGCTCTTTGGAGACAACAACCCACAATCACCTAAGGCCAAGTTCGGATCTTACTGGATCAAAGATGGGAAGGTCGTTGGGGCTTTCCTGGAGGGTGGCTCTGCTGAAGAAAACCAGGCTATTGCAAAAGTTGCTAGGCTCCAGCCTTCAGTTGGGGATTTGGAAGCCCTGACAAATGAAGGTCTTTCCTTTGCCTGTAAGATTTGAGGACTATCAGTTGCCATGCCTTACCCCCCACAAAAGAGAACAAAAAACAGAAAGGTTGTTGCCAGAGGACTATATAGATTTAGACTTGGATATGCTTTTCATGGGGTTGTGTTCTTAGTGCTCTTTGGGTTGAGTACATAAATTTGTGGGATTTGCTATGTTCTATATCGTAGTTATCTCTTCTTGTGTTTCATTTGAATGATGAATAATAATAATACTATGTTTACTGTTAAGGTTTTTTTGTTGGTGTTACTGTCCGATTGTGCAGTACGAAAATAAATACCAAAATGCTTCATAAAACGCATCTTGCTTGTTGGTGAAGTGCGGCAACCAATTATCAAAATTAAGCAAGCCATTCCGGGTAATTTACCCCCAGGAGCCTGTTGTACGCTTGGGTGCCATTGAACTCATGGATTGGTGTTCACCCTGGAAATTTGATCCCTCTGCTTCTGATTTGGATTTTTCCTCAAGTTTTCCCTACAACATCTAGTGAACAACCCTAGTTGAGCAGTGAACAGAATGTTAGCAGAAGCCATAGGGAAATAGTCATAGGGTGCAGTAAAAGAGCGCTCATGTCTCGTAATTTTATCACAATGATACATATCCATATGTTCTAGGCTCATACATCTTCTAGACATCATCTCATCATGGGTTTTCTATTTTATCAGTCGCAAAAAATGTTTCGCCGGTTGTACCTGTACATTCGCTCCTTTGTCATACATATCATACAAATTACATGGTCCCAAGCCCAGAAAAAGGAGGATTGTGGTGGCTATATGACCAACAATGGTTTTTTGAGACATCTTAAACATAAGTTTGAGTGGGAACATGGCTTAGTTTTTATAAAGATTATGGTATGATTTGATGTGATGCATAAACTGAAGTTAATTGAAATGTTGTGTAACCTTACTTTGGAAAAAGCAAAGTGTTGGGTTATTCGAACTGATTCCTGTTTAACGTCTTTGGTCTCATCTAAACCCTTGGGCCTCATTTTCTTTTCCTTGATATCATCCAATTTATATCTATTGGGACAGAGTCCTAGCATGGCAATTCAACTTGTGCATGCAATTGAGACATTCCTATTCCAACAGCCAGAAGAGGAGTTTATGGTTTGCATTTGCATCAATTATTATCGATCAGGTTGCGGTGCTGTCAACTTTATCTATAATTGCATAAAATCTAATTTAGACCTGAAACCAATGTCTAGCTATAAAATTTTGCATGCATTTTGCACAATACCTTCAACCTACTGCCAATCTGGAAAAGAAAAAAACAATGATACATATACATGAACACACCCCATATATGTATTTAGATTGAAAGCAAATTTGCCTGCCTTGACCATTGAAATTTCCGCCAACCAATACCCATGCTAGTGTTTCAACTCGGCCATCCTCAGATCAATTACTGACATTTTCCAATCAACATCCAAGAAATGGGAGACATCAACTACTCACTCCCTTCAAATTTTGGAGTTTATCTGCCATTACCAAATTTTACAATCATGCTCCAACCACAATTTTACTACATGATTCACAAACAAAGCTGTAGCTGAATGCAAATATGATAGATTGCACAACATTAAACAAAAATTCATCACTTTTGCTTGATTCATCATCATTTGACATGAAATGAAATTTAAGAAGATTAACCATAATGAATTCTGAAATTCCATTGCAATATTAGGGTTTCAGCAAATCAAATGCCTTGTCCACCAAATCTATGAAAAAAAAAGCTACATAACACGAGATAACAAAATTTTAAAATCTACGTCAACCTTAAATTGAAAAGAAAATTTCCAGAGAAACCACTCTCACACTTTAGTCGAAGAGACTGAAGCCCATATCCTGCAACAATTTGAACAAAACAGAAGTAGAATTAGATGAAACATATCTCTGATAGAACTAAACGCATGATACTAAGATCATAACAAAACTTAAGACAATTACACATATGCAGAAAATAAAAGTTTGGTGTTTTTACATCATCAGATTCCTCTTTCTCCTCAACTTTCTCTTCCTTCTTAGTCTCAGCTGCAGCAGGTGCGGCAGCGGCACCGGCCCCAGGTGCAGCAGCTGAAACAGCAACACCACCACCAGAAGGAACAGAGGCAAGCTTTTCCCTTCCAGCTGCAATAAGCTCTGTTATATCTTTGCCCTTGACCTCAGATAAAAGAAGCTGAATCCTATCATCTTCAACTTCAGCCCCAACTGGATACAACAATTATTTACAAAAAAAAAAGAGTCAACATTTCTTCCTCCAAAATATAGACAACCAACTCACACCATATCAATCATATTTTCCTTACATCTCAAACCACAATACGAATTACTAAAAACTTAAATTTTTATGAAAAATCAAATGTACCACTACATCCAAATTGGCATTTAATAAAAAAGGCTTTAAAAACCTTTTTATGAGATAACAAGTTGACAGCGCATCAAATATAAACTCCTAGATCACAGCAAACTAATGCATACAATCATGATTTACCAAAAGTTTCATTTTACCAAGTGCACATATTAATACATATAAAGGAAATAAAGACGAAAATTTGATATGAAATGAAGGAGAAAAGGAAAGGGTAAGTGGGGGAAAAGTGTACCACAGCCAAGGATGTCCTTAAGATCATCAGCTGAAGGGCAGGTGTTGCCTCCCAATACAGCCAACAAATATGCAGCAATTACCTTCATTGTCTCCTTTGTCACCTGTAAACTGAATAAACAAGAAACAACAATGTCAAAAACCCAAAAGAGAAAAAAGAACACTCTACATAAAGAGATGCGAGAAGAAGAATGGGAGAGAGTACCAGGAAAGCAATGGATCTGCTGCGGTGAAGGAAGCAAATGGACATGACAAGCCAGTTGGCAGCTTTATATAGTATGCAAAACTAGGGTTTTAGGAGGAGGGGGTACATGAAAATGGATTCGGGCTGGGCTTTTAAGCCCATATCAGATTGTTCACTGACCAAACGCACCAACTTACCGCCATTTTGCCTTGCTTGGCATTTTTATCCATTGGCTGGACCGCTGGATTAAGGTAACCCTCCCAATCCTATATTCCTATTATTCCATAAGTTGTTTTATGTAATGTAAATGTGAAGATAACTCTATTATTTTTATTTTTTTCATATAAACTATTAAAAAAGAAATATTACCAAAAATAATAGTTATCGCCTTAAGCCCAAAAATCTATCCACCGAATTTCAGGAACCTCCCAAGATTCAGGCACTCAGCCACTAGTGGAATGGGCCAAGCTCATCTAGATACCCAGCTTTTGTATGCTTCGCTATGCTCTGCACCACCTCAAGCACATGCAGGTCCAGATTAAGATAACCAGGCTTTTCAGCGCTCAGATTGCACATACACTTCCACCCATGTGTAAGTAATAAAAAAAAATTATTATTTATCACGTTTAATATTATTTTGATCAAGTCAAACAAAATAATATTAAAAGAAATATTTAATACACTGTTAGTATATCAAATCATTAATTTTGACATATTATTAATTAGATATATTATTTTAAAAAATATAAAAATATTATATCGTGTTTAAATTTTATCAATTTTTTATTTTTTTCAAAATAATACAGATGTTAAGATTTAATAATTTGATTATATATGGAAATTACACACTATTGACTCATCAAATTTTAACCCATAATATTTTTCTAAACCCAAAACCATCTAAACACAGGACTTGCACACACAGATCACATAGCCAATAGTTTTTGCAATTAAAGACGGTAAGGTAACTATTTCCGTGAGTAGTTTTCCGACTATTAATGGTGCAAACCTACAGGCCTTCGGGGTCTAAAGGGACAGCAGGTTGGTGGCAGTCTGGTTGACAGCTGCTTGTTGGTGGTAAGTTTTCGTATTAAATATATGATTGAGAAGGACATCAGGTGTATTAATTAATGGCAGTATATACTTATACTTGCTTTCCCACAATTTTCCCTGATAGAAATTGTGGGGCATTTGCATGGGTTCTGATCGTGTCCCAATAGCACTCCATGTATGACTTTTTCTGCCAAGTGTTGTGGGACAACCCATCACTCTCAGCGAGTATCCTCCTGCGTGCTGTATACCGCCAAGAAAATGGAAAAACGTTGCATGGGGAATGGGCCATCCATTTCCAAACTCCCCATTTTTCTTTCCAGGATTCTGCTGTCTTCTTCTCCCCTTTGTTCACTTCCATTATACACACAAAAGTGTAGCCAGAAAAAGAAAGATATGATTTTTTATACTACTATCATTTTATATGATTGTAACTCATGAGAGCCTCATTCCTTGATCAGCCCCTTTTTCTCCAAGTGAAACTTAGATTTTTAAACAAAAACAGTGGCCTATGCATCCATAACTGATAAGGTTGCTTCCGTATGCATGTGAAACAAGCTATAAAACTAGCAAGAGCAGAAAAAAAAAAAAACAAAAACAAAAACAATAAAAAAGCAGAGACAAAATATCTCCCTTTGTGTTGATGCTTTAACATCATCAATATTTTACTTTCCGTCGCAATTTTCTTGTTTACAATTAAATTGAAGAGGATCGTATGTATAAAAAAAATACCTTGTTCTTATACTAATACTATAATATTTGCATTAAAAAGTTTGTATACATATGTTTTTGAGTAGTTCTATGATGATTGAGACTATAGCTCTTAGCAACTTGCATTAAAGTATATGTGGAGCTCGTTGAAAAATTATGAACAAAGATAAAGAAAGAAAGGTAGGTAAGAAGAGACAAAATGATTTGCGCTGGAAGCTTAGCTAGGCAAAATTATTGCACAACTGCTCGAAATATATTTTTTGAACGACAAGAGAGAAATAATTATTAATTAAGATGAAAATTTGTATGGATAAAAGAAAGAAAAACCAAGCATGCACCCCAAACTTTGTTTAAAGCAGCTCTCTATGAAGCCAAAAGACAAAGACCTTTAAAGGTTCTGTTTGTGAGTAGAGACATGGATTCTTGTAGGAATAATTAAATTTTAGATTATAAATAGTAGACAATGTTACAATAAACTATGAATACTAAGATAATATATTGGTCAAGGAAGGTGATTTGGTTGACAATTATTTGAGGTTGATTTGTAAGGATAAGTTTAACAATTATATAATTCATTTCTTAACCATAATCCCAGGCGTATTTGTCTTTTAGATATATATATATATATATATATATACATGTAATTACATTACATTATTACTTACAAAATACATCGAAATTTTCCAAAAATGAGGCAAAACAAATAAAAACAAATTAGAAAATCCTTTCTTTTCCTTCCTAAAAACTCTTTGAAGTGGCAAACTAACCAATTCGTTAGGGAAAGAAATCAGGAATCACATATGGAATGTTGCTTCCTCATGCATTTCTCTTCCACCAGTTAATTTGAAGTAATTAAAATGATATTAATTTGAAGTAGCTTGTCGTTTAATTACATTGAAAACAAAGAACACTACAAAGATCCAAAACTAAAAAGTGAAGACAAAGACTGCCACCATCGTGGGAGAAACAAAGAACATGACCGGACAGACAGATAACATTAAATTTTGCCACTAAAGAAAGGGTCTAATTAGTAATTAGGATACCTTCAGTTGAGTTTTGTGGTAATAATTAAGATAAGTGTCACACTGCAACACAAAAAATATCCTTCAACTTTCTGGTCTAATGAAAAGTATGATATGATAAATCAACTATTTGCTCTGAATTGATTGAGAAATGAATGATTGAAATTTGGGCATGTTTGGTATGCCATTCCCCCTTTATTCCTAAAGAATTTTTATTCTTTTATTTGGCTGTAAAATTGCTTAAGGGAATAGCCATTCCTGTGGAAAGGCTATTCTCCAAAATTCTCTAAAATTAAAAAATAGTTAATACCACCTTTTTTATGATATTCGCTATTCCATGGTTAAGGAATAAACTTAAAAATTGATAAAAACCAAAATCACTTTTACAAGTTTGAAAAATTACAATCCTATTTGTATAAAATATTATTTTTTCTCTCTCCTCCTCTCCCTTAATTCTAACTTTTAATAAAATATTAATATTTTAAATTATGAATGATTAAATTATAAAAACATATTAATATTTAAATTATCAATTATTAATATTTAAAATAAATTATAAATTATTAAACATAAATAAGCATAATAACATTTAAATTATAAATGAAGTATTAATAATTAAATTATCAACTAGTAATATTTCAAATAAATTATAAACTATTAATACTTAAAAAATAAATTAAATTAAATTAAAAATAAATAGCCATAATAATATTTCAATTATAAATAAATATTAATATTTTAAAATGTTAATGATTAAATTATAAAAATATCAATAATTAAATTATCAATTATTAATATTTCAAATAAATTATCACATAATAATATTTTAAAAAATAAAATAAAATAAAAATTAACCATAATAATATTTAAATTAAATAAATATAAATATTTTAAATATTAATTATTAAATTATAATAAATATTAATATTTCAATTATCAATTATTAATATTTTAAATAAATTATCAATTATTAGTATTTAACAATAAAATAAAATGAACTAATTAATCATAATAATATTTAAGTTCAATAAAATATTAATACTTTAAATATTAATGATTAAATTATAGAAAAATATTAATATTTAAATGATCAATATTAATATTTTAAATAAATTATCAATTATTACTATTTACAAAGTGAAATAAATAAAAAAAGTAACATTTAAATTATAAATAAAATATTAATAATTAAATTATCAATTGGTAATATTTTAAATAAAATATAAATTATTAATATTTAAAAATTAAATTAAAAATAAAAATAAATAATCATAATAATATCTCAATTATAAATAAAATATTAATTTTTTAAAATGTTAATGATTAAATTATAAATAAAATATCAGTAATTAAATTATCAATAATTAATATTTTAAATATATTATGAATATTAATATTTAAAAACTAAAATAAAATAAAAATTAATTGTAATAATATATAAATTAAATATAATATTAATATTTTAAATATTAATTATTAAATTATAATAAAATATTAATATTTCAATTATCAATTATTAATATTTTAAATAAAATATCAATTATTAGTATTTCAAAAATAAAATAAAATAAACTAATTAATCATAATAATATTTAAATTAAATAAAATATTAATATTTTAAAATATTAATAGTTAAATTATAACTAAAATATTAATATTTAAATTATCAATTATTAATATTTTAAATAAATTATCAATTATTAGTATTTAAAAATAAAATAAAATAACTAATCATTATAATATTTAAATTAAATAAAATATTTATATTTTAAGATAGCGATGATTAAATTGTGAAGAAAATATTAATATTTAAGTTATCTATTATTAATATTTTAAAAATAAAATAAAATAAAATAATTAATTATAATAATATTTAAATTAAATATTAATATTTAAATTAATATTATTAATATTTTAAATAAATGATCAATTGTTAATACTTAAAAAATAAAATTAAAATAAATAATTATATATTATAATAAAAGGTATTTTTATCTTTTTATCCTCTATTCTTTTCTTATTCTAAAATTATTTTTATCAACCAAACACAATAATAAGTTATAATAACTATTCTTGTTTTATTTCATTTATTATACTAAACTATATAATAACTATTATATTCTATTCACATTTTTTTTCTCATTCTATTCTATTCATTCTTCATTCTATTTTCATATAATAGTTATTCTATTTCATTTTTATAAATTCAGTCAATCAAACATAATCCGATAGTTATGTATATATAGAAGATCATTCTTGTATGTTATTATATATTTACTGTGCTAGTGG